AGTGCGTCGGTGCACACCCGGGATCCCAACCGGCGAACCCTGGGCCACCGCAGCAGAGCGCACACTCTTAACCGCTTGCGCCACTGGGCTGGCCCCTGGTTCACCTTCATTTTATACATAAATTGAGGTTTATGATTCTGTTGTTGAATTCGCTGGGTACTACTTTCCACTCAGCATAAAACCCCTGGGTCCCATTCTAGTTCTCCTAAAGTTTTAGGAAACATACTTGATTAAAATGGCATCATCTCATGTTCCTCATATAGTCTCTTCTCAAGTTTGCACTTCGTTGATCTATTTCAGGAAGGTGGAGCATGTTCTGAAGTCAATTAGGCCAGCTCCTAATAAGCTCTATATTCATTACTGCCTTTTCTGGCTAATTATTTTCTTTCAGATGTCGGTGCTGCTCTGCTGGGCTTTGTTCAGGCATCATTTTCTGGAACTCGCCTTCTTCCCTGCACTGTCTGTGGTTGATTATTCAGAGACTCCTCCTCTCTCCCTGCCCCCCAAAGTCTTCAGACCTGCTCTGACCACTGTCTCTTTCTGGATGCATTCGGGGGCATCTGATTCTCTCTTGGTCTTGGGTAAAGGGGAAGAATAAGCCGAGAGGATTATGATAGAAGTAGTTAGTTAAGTTTTATGTGCATGCACATTTTCATAATTCTCTGATGCCTCAAGCTCCCTCTCTGCTCTTAGCAGGAAGATCTTTCCTGTTGCTTCCCAAACTCTTTTTAATTCCTTGATTATAAAGGAATTATGTTCTGACACTTCTCTCACTGGCGGAACACTGGGCACACTTATGCAAAGACTTCCCTCGTGTCCTCTACACTTTGACCCCCGTGTGGTACATTGTGCAGAGGGCCTCCAGGTTCAGTAATGATATAGCGTCTGAGGCCCGGAGTAATGGTGACGTGCCTGGATCCATATACTTAAGGAGGGATATAACTGGATCTGATCTCCTGACTTATTTTTAGGTAATTGTGCTTTTTGTTAAGTTTTAATCTAAAGGAAAAGTATTTTCTATGTTAAAAAACCCACCATGGCTCTGCTCCTTGTTAAGTATCTGACCTTGGGTAAGTCAATTCACCTACCTATGCCTTCCTTCCCTCGTCTGCAAAATGGATGAATAACTACACAGTGAAGCTGTTTGAGGATAAAGAAGTTAATCATGCAGTACCTATAGTTCCTAGCCTGTAGTAAGCACTAAAATTATCTGCTATTATGATGATGATGAAGATAATGATGAAAATGATAATCTCATTTTATGGATACATTCCACCAAGTTCACAAAGTCAAATTCTACAAGGAAAATTCTGTTTTTCCGTTAACTTCCATTTTACAATTGTTCTTGTGTTCCGGTGGGTAAGATAATTCTTGTAAAAACATGAAACCATCAAGAAACCAGTAGCGTTATTGGGCGCTGTTTGTTGCCATTTATAAATACCGCCCTTCTCTAGCCACTGGCTTTCCTTTGCAGCCCTCTCCTCACTTTTGGGCCTTGTCATCATTGCAGGCTATTCTTTCTCTTCTTGGACCTGAGGCATTTTGCTTAGAAACCTCCACGTTTTCCATCTTTTGATTATTGTCATAATCTCAGTGCTTGGTAGTCACAGCATTATAGTATCTGGCTCACCAGTCTACTCTTGTAGATATCACAGAAGGAAAATTATCGTTCTTCAAAACTTTGGCTAGCATAAATTTTCTAAGGTATAGAGTCAAATTTCATGTCATCTACTCAAAGTGAAGGATACTTGTTGCTATTAATATCAGTGCCTCTTTAGAATAATTTCTACATTGATCATTAAAAGTGCCCTGTAACTTTTTTCTTCCTATAATGCATACGTTTTTGTTTTCTAATTTATCCTCATAGACTAGTTTATTTTTAGCTTTACAATTCCAGTAGGGTTTAAGTTAACTGTGCATTATTTAAAAAACAGATAAGATACTATCAGAAGTGGAGGAAACATAATGTATATTGTTATTTTTTAATACTTTAAAAGTATTAAAAGTAGAGTGTAAGTAATAAGATTGAAATTGCATAGCACATATACTAGAGATATTTTCAAGATAATTTAAAAGTTATATATATTACAGTATTTGTGCAATGTAAAGATAGATTAAATGTGACGATCATGAAAAATACAGTGCACCTTTCCAAGTGATTAATTGTGTGAACCAAGACACATATGTGAACATCTTTTCATGTTTGATCAGTTTTATTTCTGATGGTAATAAAACCAAGTAAATGAAATGCAAAATGGTGACTGCAAGGTAGTGGTTGAAATTTTTATATGCATAAAGGAGTCAGGGTGAATTTATGTTCTTATGGTGGCTGGCGGCTACTAATAATATATGTATATTCCTGAAGTGATCTAAGCACATGGCTAAATATCATGGGGACAGAATCATAGTTGGTACATACTGTGTTTATTGCTTTACTTCTCTCGGACGTGTAAAACATTAACTGAGACTGCCTTCATACAGCTCGTCTGCTTTTGTTCAGGGTTAGACATGTGCTCGTCATTAGCCCACTCTGTCCTTCTCTGGAGTGTACAAAATGGTGGCATCCATGTGGAGTGGGGAGAGTTACGATTGCCAACAGTCTTCTCATTTTCTGGCACCATGTATTTCACTTAAATTTTTTTTGGACTGAATATATGATTCTAAAATGTATGAAATTACTATTTTACTAGATTTAATTCTATAAAACTTTTAAGTTCTGTACTCTTTTGAATCAAGATTAGAGATAAGTGTCTTAGTTTCAACTTCTGTGCCATCCCACAGGGACGTGAGAGGGTGGAACACTGTGTACCTCCACAGCCACATCCTGCTGCCCCTGGTCTGCTGTTCCCTTTGCCTCTGATTAGATCCTGTCCCCTGAGCTGTGTGCTAAGCCTCCCTGTTCTAAATCAGAGTCTTAGGTTTTCTTCTGTTGTTCCACCTTGAGGCAGGAGGAGAGGTCTACTTTAACTTACACTGCACTTGTCGTTTACCTCAGTCTTAGGTGATAAAATCTGCTTTTACAAACTGAACATGAGAATGAAGCAGACAACTTAATAGATGTCTGCTTTTAAGTAATTGAATATAAAAAAAAGCAAACACTTTAAAATACATCACCTTTTATAAACATGGTTAAATTCAACAGATTTCACTGCAGAGCTATAGTATATGAAAAACCAACTCAATGGAAGTTTATAGAAATTAATTAAATTGAACTCCTTTTGTAAGAAGGCTATTTTCACAAAGAAAATGTAATACTCTATAGATTTCAATTAGAAGTCCTAGGTGATTTGGAGAAATATGTTGCTCATAACATGGCCATAGCAGAAAGGTGGAATTCCCAAAGGTTACTGGGGAAGTCTTTCTTATTCTCTTCTCTGTACAGTCTAGTGGCCTTTACATAGTGTTTGTCCACCCTGGTATACTCCCTATTTGGAATCTAGTCTGTTGTTCTTAGCTCACCTGTAACACAAGCACGTTGAGTTGGCAAAGGTCGCTGACTAAAGAATCTGCGATGGGTGTCCTGTACTTTTTGTAACTGGTTATGCTGTCACGCTCTTATCTTTGTGATCTCTATTTGGTCAATAGTGGGCAGTTAAAGTTTCCTAATGAGTCATAAGTGTTTCCACACACAAGTGTAGTATTAGAAGCAAAAAAAATTCCTTGCATTTTACTTGGAATTGATCTATAGATTGAAAACTTAATTTTGTAATGTGGAAAGTCTAGCTAAGGAGAATTCCTTCAGATTTTTTAAGCCTATCATTATATCAAGTCAGATTACTGAAAAGCTATATACTTGGGCCACATTTCAGTAGCTCTCTGAATAGATGTTTTAAAAGGATTATTTAATAGTATGCTCTTGCCTTTTATTGGAGGACAGTTAAAGAGGAGGCTGTATGACAACCATTTCTATTAGTTTTTGTAAAACTGCAATTCTGTGAGTTATGTTAGTTCTTTTCCTTTATGAAGCTTCCTGTGGTAAAGGCTTACAGCTTTATCCTAGAAGGATTTCCATCTCTTCTCACAAACTGGTGTCTGTTCCCCTATTGAAAACTGAGTGGTTTATAGCCCCAAATTTCCTACTTTCAGAGGCTTTCTGTGAATCACAGAACCAAATTGATTATAGCTTGGATATTCTGGTAAAAACCTTACTAATGTTTTTCTTCATTCATTGGTTCATGTTCTTGTCTCATTATTATAATGGTTCACTTTCATATCTTTTCTGGAAATAGGCAGTACATAAATAACTGAATGTACATCAGTTAATTCTAAGTTCAGTATCAGAGTATCTAGCTACGTGTCAAATTGAGAAAATAATGCTTTTCCTTAAGCCTTACACGCCTATGCAGTTTTTAAAAACAGTACTTGGACGTCTTCTAAGTCACCCCCCCAGGTCAGAACTGAACACAGTTCGAGTTGCTACAGCAAATGGAAACCACTGCTGGGGCTCTTGCTCCAGATGTCATTGTAAATCTGAGAGTTGAGCGCACGCACAGAGCGTGGAGATTCAAAAGAGGTCCGTGGTCACCCCGTTCCATTCATATATTCCAAAGTGACAGCTGTTGCCATCACAGATTTCTGCCTTTTGATTTTTTTCCTACAGCTCTGGGGTCTTAGTTTGAACTTCTAATCCCTAGTTTCAGAAAGTACCCTCAAGAAGATCTTTCTTTTCCAGAGTATTCTTGGGATTACCTAAATTGTAGGTTATAAAAAATTCCTTGGATATGCTTTTCAAATAGCTAGGGAAATTTATTTTTGTGTTGCAATTTATCTTCCAGGAAAATTGATGAAAGATGTATACTTTGATTTTACTGATTTATCTTAAACAGGATAAAAATGCCAAATATTTATCCAAATAAATAGATAACATTTGTTTTTGGCATTTAAAAATTATATTATTACCAGAGCATATTTTTAATGAGCCAATTTATTTTTTTTTTAATTAAAATGTATTTTACCTTTTTAAAAAGCTTGAGTCACGAACTTTGGTTGTTCTACTGCAGGACCCTGGCTACTGGGTGAAGATCCATCACCTAGAATACACAGATGGAGGAATCCTGGATCCAGATGATGTCTTGGCAGATGTCGTTGAAGACAAAGATAAGGTAGATGACTCTCAAATGTTCCTCTTCGTTTTCCTCTGTAGAGCTGCGTGTTTTCCAGAGATTGAGATCCTTAACAAACTCACGTGTCAGTTATTATGAAAAGATACCTCTGTTCAGGTCTCACCTGGATAGGCCATAAATCAAGGTTCTTCATCAGATGTTTGGAAAAACGCTGTCAAGGTTTGGGATCTGTTTATGGTGGCCTCATTAGCAGATACTTCGTTCCCCAGAGTTCCGGATACTTCTCAGTAAATTAGTGTCGGCCCTGAGGCTGCTGGAGTTCTCATTGTCATTGTTGGCTCTGGAGTTTATTCTCGGCCCTTGCTAAATATTCCACTTAATGCCTGAGATTTGAATGTGTTCCAACATGGAGAATACAGTGGGGAGAAAAGTCTTATATAAGGAACTATGGTGAAGATTTTTGTTCGAGTAGCTGGCAGACAACTATCTTTCATGATAGTCTTTGTTTTCATTGCTAAAGTAAAAAACACTAAATTGAATATTCCAAAAAGTTTGAACATGTTTTGCCATCTACCTGGGAATAATCCCCATTGTAAATATCTTGTTTTAATGGAATTTTTCTTCTGATGCTAAACTGAAAAAGGTATGAGTAAACTATTCAGTTGCAATGCGCTGGATTATTGCTGTCGGGACACATTGTTTATTACTTCTTCTGTGCTGGGTTCCTCTTATCAATGGTTAATGTGTCCTCTAGAATTGAACTGCAGCTCTCCCTCAGAGATCCTTGCTTCAAAGTTTCTTCTACTGTGCATCCTTAGTTCTGTTTGTATTAGGCTAATTTGTGTCTGTAAACATGTTTCTCTGTACTTTTTTCTGCACTCTCTGGTACGGGTATATGTGTATTTTAACCAACTGGACTGGAATATAAATAAGTGATTTATTGAACTCAGGTAAAATTTACATTTTTCTTTTTCTATAAGATCTTTTTGGACTGTATAAATTTACATTAGTCTTTGCAGACGTTCTATCTAATTTTTTTCCCTATTTTCTCTTGGAACTCAACCCTGGTTTGCTTTCCATTATAATTAGCCATTTCATAATGGACTTATGTCCCTAAATAGATTGTAAGCTCCTAAAGGACGTGGACTGGGAGATTTTTATTTCTTTTGTGTTTCTTGTATTAATAATATCTGGTACAATATCTTACCCAAACTTAATTCTCAATACTTATTGAATTAATGAGTGAAAAAGAAAACTTTCCTCTCTACAGTTGGCTCTTGCTATATGTGATCTTGATGTACACTTTTTATATTTTGGTCTCATGGTAAATAATAATGTGTTATTTACCTTCTTCTAACTACAGAGGAGGACTTTGCCTTGTGTTTTTCCCTATTTTGCTTTCTGTTTCTTTTCTCCAGCTGCCTTCTTCCTTTGAAGTATTCTAGGCATTTGGATTGTTTGTTAATGAAGAAGGTCTTCCTGTCTCAAATTTCACTGATGTCCGGTGTATTAAAATGAAAAGCTGAAAGGTGGCAAGTTTAAGAAGGGCCAGAAGAAAATGTCTCCCCCCAGCGTCATCCAAGACCTCGATGCAGGAAGGATGACTCCATGAACAGTGTCCAGGGAAATCATTTGTCCTATAGAACTCTTCTTTTTAGAGAATTCTTTTTAACTATCTTGGCAGTGCACTTTTAAACCATAGTCTATTTACTAGACATAATCTATTTACTATTTTATTATGTGTAATCTCTGTTTTAAAGGGACTTGACTACCACTACTAAATAAGGAGAAGTACTCTTTGGGTTCAGGCTTACCCATCCCTTCACATACTTGAGCGCTACTACATGAAGCCTAATTGGTATAGCTCTGCAGAGTTGATGAGAATTTACACTTAGGATACTGCCACAAAAAATTGTACTTCCATTTTTTCCTTTTTAAAAATAATGTAAGTGAAAAAGAGAGCATTATTTATTTTCCGTGACCTTCTCTCTGCAGTCTTAAAATTTCCTCGTAGTCCGTATGTCTAGTGTGGAAAGAAGGTTCTGCCAGACTTCATGTTACCCTTCTTTTTTGTCGGTTTAGATCAGGAGGTAATTGTAAATGATGCTCGTGGATGTTTAGTAACATATCAGACTCACCCAAGACCCTTTGAGGCAGTATTGAGCTTAGATGAAGTTACAATTCACGTATTTTCAAATTGGCTACCTAATGATCTCTTGCATTTAGAATATAGATAGAAAGCAATCCCACAGAGGCGTGGATGGGTGTACATAATCCTTGTGCTAAAGCCCACGTACCTCAGCTCCTGGCAAAGACTCTCACGCAGGTGAGAAATGGCCGTCAGGAACCACTGATGCCCTACCTGGGGAGGAGGAGGCATGAAAATTGGAAAACAGTGTGGGCTGAAGTCATTGATTTAGTGTGTGGAAAAGCCATCCAGTACACTTCAGTAAAGACTGAAATTAGAGTTTAAATGGTTTTCTACTTAAAATCAGACAAGAGGCTAATAGAGTTTAGTTGGTTTCCTGAAGAAATGGCTTTCAAAACTTCTGATCCCAGAAGTGGTTGTCTTTGGGCTTCCTTTATTCCTCTGGCCAGTGCAGTGCATGGTGCGGACGTGGTGTCTCTTTGTGAGGTTTTGTGTTGTTTTAAGTTGCTTTCCCACTAGAGCCCCTTCAGGGGAGAACTAGATTTTTACCATGTCGGCCTATTTCTATCCTGTATTTTATCAAAATATTATTGGAGCAGCTTTGGAATGTTACGTCTTGTAAACTAGTATTTGTATAAAATGTTGTGCTAAAACAGTGATTATCTGTTCGTGACAGTCATTCTCAAAATTCTTCAGTTTTATGTATCAGTTTGATGATTCAAGTTCTTGGGATAAATACCTAAGAATTTACACCTTTACACTAATGTCCCTTCTCTGGCTGCCCAAGGCTACTAACTTTGTTTACCTAGTAACAACAACTTAACATTTTATTGAGCACTAATGGTGGCCGAGAGTGTCTTTGGCACTTACATATTCTGTTTTACTTTAGAACAACTCTGCAGGTGGGAACTATTTATTACCACTATTTTTGATTTCTGAGAACAGCCACAGAAATTGCTAGTAACTTGCTGAAGATCACACAGGTAGTAAGTGGCAAAATCAGCCTCTGAAATCTAGAATTTACATTTCTACTCTATTTTATTCTTCTACAGTGTGCAAGTGGTGTGTTGGGGGTTTGTATCTATGATTTCTAATTATGAAAATTCATCATTCTTAAATAAGCATGAATTTCCTTAAACACAGTTACCTCCATTATTAAGAAAAGATCGTAATAGAGTTGTGGAGTATAACAACTAATTCAGAGTTAGTACGTCACGTGCGTGCAGTTAACTCCAGCTCTGCCTGCAGCCTCATCTGTCTTGTTGCCGAGGCCTGCCAGTTGGACGTCTGTGGTTTTCTCTTCCCCTTTTCCAGGACCCAGATTGCTCAATCCACGTACAGTTTAATTCCAAATGGACTTTGTAGATTACAGTTGGAGTCTAGCCACTGTATGCAGTTTCATAGGAAAATAGATTCTGTATTCCAGTAATTACTTTTCAGATGGATTGCAGAATGTGCATGAATTATATTCTGCGCTGTCTGCGGTAAGCAGAGTAATGGCCCCCATCCTTTGACCCCAGGCAGCTTCTGGAAGCTGGAAAAGGCAAGGGAACAGATTCTCCCCGAGAGCCTCTAGAGGGCACACAGCCCTGCTGATACCTTGATTTTAGCCCAATGAAACCTATTTCAGACTTCTCACCTCCAGAACTCTGAGATGAATTTGTGTTGTTTGAATTCACTAAGTTTATGGTGATTTATTATAGCAGCAATGAGACACTAGTACGCTGTCTCTTCTGTGTTAAACTTTAAAGTGATGATGGTCTTCTCAAGTTTCATACTGACTAGGCTTTTAGGATAGTGTAGGACAAGGGAAACATCTTCTACTTCAGATCAGTTGGTTGCTCTTGCGTTCTTCTCAGAGTCCATCATAAATTGATTCTCCGTTCATTGGGTGAGACTTCACTCTGGGACTTGAATGTTAAGCATCTCAGTAGTTATGCTGTTGTCTTGTGTAGAAATTGTTTCAATGCCACAACCAAGAGCTACGTGATATTCACATATCAGCTTCTCATTGCAATATATGAATGCCCTAAGAGGTCTAGGGACTGATGCTATTATTAATTAGCCACTGCAAAGCTTTATGTTCACTCACTGATATTTTTTAATTGAGTGTGAGAACTTCTGAGTATTGAACTTTTTAAATGATTGTTTTCCTTGTTAATTGTCATTATTATTTCTTGAGTTGGTTGTAGAAGACAATTGTAATATAATGCTGAAATATGACAGTGGATAACTTCTATTGTGTAAACTGGATTGCTGCCATGGTTTTATTAAATATACAAAAGTAAAACTATATCATGTGGTAAAGTACACAGGGAGAATGTCTCTCTGTTTGACTGTCATCAGGGTTCATCTTGGAAAGATGTCAGTGGTCCTCGTGGATTTCAGTGAGGGTGGGTTGGCCCCTGGGACCACCTGTGACATCTGGTGCTCAAATATCACAGTTTCAGCTCTGCTTCATCCCTTGTTAGTTGTGTGTCCTTGGGCCAGTTTCTTCATCTCTATTAGCCTCGATTTGCCTTTTTGTAAAATGGATATAATGTTAGTTCTTCTCTTACAGGGTTAGTATAGGAAAACTGCATGGATGAACTATAAAAAGTTTTAATTCCAGTGTGGTATATAGTAAGCACTCAAATATTAACTGTTACATTGATAATATTATTACACTAGTGTTGTTAGTGTAATTTTTACCTATGTGTCTTCATTTAACTATTAAATGTTTTAAATTTAAATATTAAAATATCAGAGAAACTATTTTACGGTGCATTAGAACTGCTTTTAAAGACCTTATTAAATTTGTTTAAAAGTTACTAAATTGTTTAAATGAATAGTTTTGTGGGAAGATACTTTATTATTATGACAAAACATTTGGATTAATATATTATTATTT